TACATATATGTAGGGTCGGGGGATGAAAATTAGTACACGTTTTTGAATTTATTGAGTTTAATTTTAATGATAACTGTAATATAATTAAATAGCGTCCTAACAAGCGTCGTTCCGTCGTCGTACTGCCACCTCTCTCATCCTGTCACTTATTCGTTCCCACATTCGCTTACTCACTCATTCCGTTCCACGTATCTCATTCCCACAACCTTTCTATTGCCTATCTTACTCATCCTTTTTAACTTTTTATTATTTCAATTTTACTTTACCCATGAAAGGTCCTTCCGAAAATTAATTTAAATAATTTTGCTACATTGGTATAGTTGTGTTCAACAATTTTGAAAAACAAAACAGAAATAGTAGCGTATAAAGATGTGTTTTTTTTCGTTTCACTAACGAGATAATTTTTGCTAAAGTGAATTAAAATACTCCTACATTTTACCTATTGCTTTGCAACTTCTTTGAGAAATAGACAGATAATCTATACATATAATAAAATTATACATGGAAGACATTTGAGAAAATTTATCATTGGGGGTCTTTTTAACGCAACAGAACACAAAACGAGTAAAAAATTTATCTGTGTGTCTGTTGTCTTTGATTTGGGTTCGATTTTCACTAATGTATAGTGGTAAGCTTCACTTAACATTTAGTATTTGCTTTATATTAATGGGTTAATAAATAAAAAAATTGTATCAAAAGAATCACCTATTGACGAACCCAAACGAAGCAATAGTCGATAGTATTTAATATGTAGTAAATACGCAATAATGTATGTGTAACTACTAACGAGTATTCGTTCAGTGTTCGAAATTCGACCATAATATAAAAAAAACTGACTGTTTCCAAAAAGAAGGAAAACAACAAAAAGCCATGCAAAGGTAATAACATAAATTTACTGATCAAAGTAATGAATATTCTATTATATATAAAACAAAAACAAACCTATCCCACGGCAACCGTACATTTTTCGGGGGTAAAAAGTAAAAGCCTATGTATTAATCCAGACTATAATCTATCTCTGTGCCAAATTTCATCCAGATCCGTTCAGCCGTTCTGAGGTGTAAGAGTAACAAACATCAACACAACAACACTCACAAACTTTCACATTTATAATACATATAATATACCTACAGACAGATTGTATTTTGTTATAAGACCTTATACGCCTTCATGTTTAGTTCTATGACACTGTCTATATTAATCTGTAGTCTGAGCCGAAAAGCCTCTTAAATAATGTATTTAATAATTGATTCAGTAATTCTAATAGAAAATTTATGAAAATATTGTTAAAGAAAAAGAAGATTAAACATTCGTGTTAAAATGTTAAGTGACACCTAGAACGCCTCTTTAATAAGTCAATAAATATATTGGGACATTAGCACGCTCAAGTCGCTTCGCTCAAGTGCGTCCCGCAATATAAATAAAATATGTTGGGACATTAACACACAACACCATCTAGTTCCGTGGTAAGCTACGAGGCTTGTGTTATGGATACCAGATAGTTTATACACTACACATATATAACTTTAAATATATACATATTATAAATATCAACAACCAGGACTGGAGTTCAAACATTCGTGCTCATCACATAAATGAATGCCCCCAACGGGACTCGAACCTGCGACCGCTGGCACAGCAAGTAGGATCACTAGAAACTGAATCAAACGTGTCGTCAAAATAAATGGGTAATTGTCATTAAATTCGTTCAAAATACATTCGCGCGGTAAGCGCAGTGCATTTACTTTGCTTTGAAAATAGTCGTGCGAATAGGAAAATGTTTTATAATATATGGATTAAATTAATTCAAAAATTGATGAAATTCTATTTTAAAGAATATCTTTTTCACTTCAATTTTGTGTATAGTATAGTGTAGCGAGATTATTGTTTAATTTCTGTAAGTTTTTTATTTAGTTAGCAATTTTTATATCTAGTAATTAAACTCTCATATAATTTACAAGTATTTTTCCAAGAAAAAAATTGACGTTGAGAAGAAAAAGTTTAGATAAAACATTCCGTGTTAGTTATAAATTGTGTTTCTCATAACAAGACGACTTTTACTTCAGCTAACTTTAATTGTATATTTTTCAGCGTTACACCAACTCGAGTAGGATTGCTTGTTGTACAGTAAAGATTATGAACTTTGTACATGACAGATACTAAATTATGCAAAACTTATTTTGAATGCTTCAAACTGCTTCGTTGTTCATGATAAACTTTAATTGTTCTTTATAATTTAATTTTTTTTTAATATCTGCATACTTGGTCTAACTTTTCGCAGCCGCAAACCTTGCCATTAATGATAGTTTAGCAAGCTTTAGGTGTAGTAGATTCTTGGTTTGAGTCCCTGCTAGAGCCAAATATATAATCAAGATAATTTTTGGATGTTAGTTACAGTGGCCCACGCTTAAGTGCACCAAAATGCATCGATTACTTACCATGTTAGATTCTCATATCAAAATCTTTCCGTCATACTCTCTTGTTACAATATTTTAAAAGTAATTGGCTGACTTCACTCCTCCTCAGATATTTTACTTAGTGCGAACGTCTTTGGGATATAGACAGATAGGATGGAGAATTCATCAAAGTTATACCAAATCTAGAACAGCATTAATATAACATTTTCGTTTGGGTCTTGTAATTTACTTTACTGTTTAACAATTATTTAAATTGAGAATATAATTTGGTATTAATAATACTTGAAGAATACCTTAGGCATAAATATTCTACTCTAATCATTTACACTTTACTAGTAAACTATGAAAAACTCTGACAGAGCAGTAAACATATTTTCATACACTCTCCCAAATGTAACATTAGAATGAATTTTTTGCTATTCCCTGCGGCAACAACCTTATATTTTTTATGCTTCCCTTTTATTTCAGGTGAGTGCTGCTTTCCTTTTCTGAGGTTATATTTCATAAGTACAAGTGCACATCCCTAGATATTATTCAGGTTACATGTTTTAGTTTTGTAGATTTCTTGATTTTATTTAAGCAAATATTTCAAATTATAATAATATTATGAATCTTATAATATTGTAAGTTATTTTGTTTACAATGATTATATAGAAATTTTAGATAAAACTATATTTTCAGACTTTATTTTGATTCCGGGAGATAATCTACCCTAATTGCTGCAAAATATTGGAAATTTTGGGAACCAAAAATCAAACTAAATCTGCGAAAAGATCTTAAAAGCTATTTTTTTAAACTATCAAATATCCTTTTTAAATAAAACTATCTTTTCGGATTATTTCGCGGATTTATTTTGATTTTTGGTTCCCGACGTTTCGAATGCTTTACAGCAACCATGGTCACGAGAGAGACTGAGGTGTTACATGCTTGAAGGTGTAGTTGTTACAGACAGCCTACCCACAATTAACAAAATGAAATTTGCACCAATTACATTACAATATTTTTTAACTTTAAACATTTTTATAATTTTAATTATAATTGAATATGGAATATTATATATTTAATTTTTGCTATTATTTTTATAATTATTACAATTTTAAAAATATTAATTAGTAATCTATATTTAGTGTTGCAATTATTATATTTATTACCATAAAGAAAAATATAAAATATAATATTAGTTATTTAAGCCATATAATTGTTCTATGTGTAATTTAAAAAGTTAAAATTAATTAAGGATAATAATTTTAATTTAGTTTGCTATTATTTAAAAACAACTTACTAAGCAACACTATTACTATATATTTTTACAAATGAAAAATATTAATCTGATAAGCTGTCATTTTGATCTATACAGTAAGAACTTACTACATCTACCTGTCTGTTATGTTTATATTTATTATTTGATTTTATTATATTAATAACAGGATCCCATGACGATGGTAGTACCCAGCCAACTTCCCTATTGACATTTGGATGTTTTTTTAATTTCTATGGCTTCTCGAATCATTCTAGGGCGATATCGGTTTTCTTTCGCCAGGATTTGAGGTCTATCGAAGCGAATATAATGGCTTGGGCGGTCCTGGCTATGTTTGCAGACAGCAGATGTTGTATTTCGACGGTGCTTCACATCAGCTATGTGTTCTTTGACCCGGGTTCTAATGGATCGCTTTGTTTGTCCAATGTAAGAGAGCCCACAATCACAATCAAGCTTGTAAACTCCTGCATCTTGTAGAGGGATGTGGCACTTGACAGGTGGTAAGAACTGACTAATTTTCTTTGGCGGCTTGAAGTAAGTTTTAATTGAAGCTCGCTTTAGAATGAAGCCAATCTTGTCAGTGACTCCTTTCATGTATGGCAAGACTGCAGGGACGCGCTCGACTGTGGCTGGTTTCACTCGGTCACTGTGACGCAGGCGCGGCACTTGCAGCTTGTTGTCACGTAGAACTTGCTTGACATGTTGCAGTTCTCCGGCCAGGTTCCGGCCGTTCAGGTACCTATCAGTATGGGTCTTCTTTCTATACACAGTATGACTCAAGGTGTTATCTGGGTTGCGTTTAACTAATACATCTAGGTAAGCTAATTTATTGTCCGATACTCATTCCATTGTAAATTGTATTTTAGGATTTATAGAATTAAGGTGTTCTAAGAATACAGTTATTTTATCAGATGGTAATATTGTGAAAGTGTCATCTACATACCGCTTGTAGAAACGAGGGGTCACGGGTGATGTGTTCAGAGCAGTCTTATTTAAAAATGTCAGTCAGTTTTATTTAAAAATTTCATTCAGAAAAACATTCGCGTAAATCTAAGAAAGTATTGTCAAATATCCTCCTAATTCTAAGAAAGTATTAGAGATTGAAAAACTTTGTAACGTTATTAATGTTGTAAATGCGAAGATTTGTAATAAGTGTGTTAAAAAAATATATTTCGTGTTTGTTACTTTTTAATGCTGTAACTGTTAAACAGATTTAAGTAGAATTCAAAATAATATGCAGTTTATACCCTTGATTAATATATAGGCTACTTACTATTTGGTACGTACAGAGCTGCAGACAAAAATTAGTTATCAAATATAGGTCAGTTATTGTAAAACTTATAGATTGTTAATATTTCATCATCAGGCCATACTATGTTTCCAATCCATTTTATATATCTGGAAACCCTTGGGTAGACTCCTAGCACCATTTTCCTCCCACAGTCTCTTCCAAACGAGGTAATTCCAACTAATTTGTGCAAGGGAAAAGATTTCACACAATCCACTCTATCGTCCATTATTTGCAACGGTCCTCCAGAATCGCCTTGGCATGTATCTTTTCCCCCATTCTCATAATCTCCGGCGCACAGTTGATTTTCAGTTATACCGAACTGTAAAATTTTTCGCTTAATCAAATATCGCATTGATCTATTACAAATTTCACTATTAATAATATCTAAGTCGACTTTCATTAAAGTTTCACTACCAGTCGATGCAACGGATACTGTTTTACCAAAACCTATCGCTGTAAGTTTTTTATCACCTAAATCATCATTTTGTTTTGAACAAGCTAACCTTCTCTCCTAACAGTGAAAGCTGGTTTTGCCTTCATTAAAACTATATCATGGTATTTTAATGGTGGTCTGTATTCGGGATGAGGAATGATTGTATCAATGTCTCTTTCTTGTGCGAGCTCTTCAACTTCATCGAATTCAAAGGTCGCAGTACCGATCCTTAGAACTCTAGCTGTACCTTCTGCAGGGTCTTCAATGCAATGTTCTGCTGTTACTATCCACTTTTCACTGATTAATGTCCCACCACATTTCCAAGAAGGTTGATCCTTATTATTCTTGCGAAATTCTATGAGCGTCATATGAGGATAGAGAAGCAAATCTATGGGTACACGTACTCTCTTTTCAGGATTCAAAATAGTGTGGCATTCTGGCATAGTTAGTGCATAGTTTTTACAAGCTTGGAAAGATTTTTCACCGACTCCTACTACATTTAAAATTAAGCACCACAAGAAGAAAACGCCAATCGTTTTTGGATAATTCATATTAAAAAAATAAAAATTGAAAATATTTTTTTTTCTCTGCTTGTTACTTAACTCTTATATATAATTCGTGTAACTAACTTAAGTGGCCATAATATTCCATAAATAATGTAAGCGTTTCAAATCAATAATACACTACGTTAATAATGAATCGTGATTGCATTGTTGTGAATTATAGCCGTATTTACTGGTACAGTTTATTAGTATACATTATTTTAAGATGTCAACATGATATATTTAAATGTCGCAACAATTTTATGAAAATTTTAATTTAATAAATGTCTGAAGTCATAGAACGTTTTAATTCTAAATGCGTGTATCTTATCTTAAGCAAGCTTCGAACGAAATTTAATAACTTTGACCAAATTACACAATTCGGTGCTAAAACTTGAAATAAACGTAGTATCTCATGAATACATCTACGTGACATTTGAGTCGGCGAGTGCTAACACAAAGTTTTAATAAGTTTCCAAACCTTGAAAGTTGTTTAATGAGAATCCTGTTGAGTCAATACGGAGATTTAGATTTGAAAAATTTTATTCCAGTGAAATTTGTCGGGTGTGAACGAGATGAAACTAATACCAACTACTGCTTGCCGAGCCGCTGTGCCGTCAGCTACTCGCAATTTGACACGCATATATAATTAATTCATTTTATAAGGTGCCAATAAACATAATTGTTTTGTTGTATTTTCTTTGTATTTCATTCTAGGTGGCTAACTACAGCTTTTATGCTATTCCTTATACGCACATATTAACTATCGTATTTATATTAGTATAAATGTAAAAAAGCATTATTTTGAAATAAACATAAATATACTTGTATTAAAATTTGCCTACTTGTGCATTATCTTCATGATAACAGAATTAAAAACTGTAATGGAACAAATAAATAATAAAAATAGCCAAGTTTTAATGTTCAGCTGATTTCCTAATTTAACTATTTAATTTATTTTTAATTTTCCTACTGACGGTAAAAGTAAATAAGTAACTATGAAAGATTTATACATCTATTATAAAACTAACAATTTTAGTAGAAATATAGTATTTCAAACATTTTTTATCACTTATGTAAAATCATGCTTTCTTCAAAAAAATAAAAGTTGTAAAATGGTATCAATACAGTAAAATTAATGGAATATAGAAAAGAAATTGCGTAGTTACTCGTAGCTACAAATTTACTGTAAACTAATTGTAATATTCATAATCAAAAATAAACAAACAAATAAACTCTCTTTTTTTTCCACTACTTATTTGATAAGATTAGATTATTTGATAAGGTTATCTCGAGGATGACAAAATAAAATTGGTGGCAAAACAATGTTGTCTCTAGTGGTGATAGGGTTTGTGTGCTTCGGAAGGCTAGCGTTCTGTACAGGACCTGGTTCGTGCACCGGACCTGGTGCATGTACTGGACAGGGTTCGGGATCGGGGACAGGAACGTGTACTGGAGCCAATTCCTGTTCAGGGGTGAAAAGCGGTGGTGGTCAGCGCTCTTGTACCGCAGAGAGATCATGTAGCGGAGGGGAATCGGGAAGCGGAATTGAGACATGCACGGGTATTGCTTCATGCAGAGGTCCCAATAGCGGCGGAGGCTTGGGTTCGTGCACTGGAGCTGATTCGTGCAGAGGAACTCAAAGCGGCGGAGGCACGAGATCGTGCACTGGAATCGGTTCGTGCAGAGGAACCCGAAGCGGCGGAGGCACGGGTTCTTGTACTGGAGGCAATTCGTGTTCTACTCCGGACTCGGGCAAGTGTGATATGTGTTGTACTGCTCCAAATTCATGTAATTAACATGTATAGTATAGCCATTCTAGTGCGAATCGTTCAATAAAAATCAAAATTTTATTAAAATGCTCGTTTTATTAGTAATAAAATTTTATTTTTATTAATTGTATAAGAATATTTGACACAATACCTTCACTGCCCTAATACATATTATTCGATGTGGTCAGGATCATTAGTGTAGTAATAATCAGGACATTCACAAGCCACTGACTCGTCTGGGCTCGTCAAAACTTTCCCTCATATCCCCTATTAGTCTGAATGACCTCGTCAAGTCATATCGTATTTTGACTATCAGATCTGCAGTACGTCCAGTTCTATCAATAAACGATCTTATGTTCTCATTCCTATGATACCAGACAGAGGGCCTCCATTGAGTAGTATTATTAAATCGTTCTGTCATCATAGATTGTCTCGAGACCACCTACTTGCGACCCGATTAGATGACCAGCTTCATTCTGTTTCTCATCTGTTATTTGTCATCTGTTATCTCCCTGTTAGGACCAATAGGGTCTCACGGCCCGTATATGCTGCTGGTATCACCGTGTAACTAAAAACTGGATTATTAGGATTTACCATTAGTAGACATGATTGGGATTCGTACTAAATTATCGGTCAATTTATCCACACATTAGATAAACGTAACATTCCTACGCATCCGCCGTGGTCATTCTGAATGAGTGACCGTAACATTTCTACGGCGTCGCCTTGGTATTGCTGCACATTGGTCAGTTTCTGGCAAGCAGGAGAGTTTCGTCCTTAGCAGATCCTTACGTCATAATAACTAATGTGTGTAACCCAATCCGTTCAGCAGCTTTAGCTATGCGTTAAATTTGACAGATCAGTCAGTTTGTTATTCTTATAGTGGTGTCCCAAACAAAATTCCCGTAACTACCCAAAACAAAATTCTGGGCTATGTTACAACAATAAACATTTATCTTTCGCTACCACACTGTACAAGCCTACAAGTCAACCGACCATCAGTCACATACGGCGTATAATTTATCCTACGAACGTACGAATATTTGGAACGATTTTGATCGGTTTCATCGGTGTATTGAATAATAAAAACAATGCTCATAATGTATCAATTTTATTTCTATGTTTAGAATATTTGGATTATACAAGCATATTATTATTGAACTTTGCCTTCTTATAAAATTTCATTTACATAATTTCGATTTGAAAAGCTATATAGCCTATGCCAATAGGCTTATAGTATTCGAGAATTTGTGGTTTTTTGAATGAAAGGAAATCGGGTTAATCTAACCTAAATGCGTATTGATATGGGAAATACGCTTTATAGCCGTTAGCTTCAGCTCAAACAGTGTATTTATTTGTTTCGAAATGTTTAAACCACAATTAGCCTCTAAACTGACATTCATAACTTTACTATATAAACTTTGTTGATAACGTCGTCAGTGTAGATGAATGATAAGCCTATCCAAAGTAGGTCATACTTATGTATCTAATATTCACATTTTTAATATATCTTTTATATATCTTATTAGCATTAAAAGTTTCACATGTTTTTTTAAGTAAGTCCAAACTAATATTATATATGTGAAAGTGTGTTTGTTTGTTTGACCTTCTTTCACGACGAAACAGAGTGACAAATGGCGTGATTTTTTGTGTGGAGATAGTAAGAGGGCTGAAGAGTGACATAGTCTACTTTTTACCGCGGATGGTTATCTCATTTCCACTGGAAACACGTTATAATACAACCCAAAAAAATATTTATGATCAAAAGTACTTGAAACTCATTTATTATTTATTCATGCTCTACAATACAATTAAATAAATACGTATTTTAGCATTTTTTGAAATTCATTCCATAACGGGGTAAAACAGGGGATATTAAAGTTTGTATGAAAACTACCTTTTAAAAGATTTTTTTGTAGTTTTGACGCGAGCGAAACCGCGGGTTCTGCTAGTATAACATTTAAGAGCACTGAAATTTTTGTAACGCTGCATTATTCTGCACTAAATATGTATATTATAACAGTAAATAACATAATATGTATTCCTATCTTTTAAGTACAGAAAAAAATTGTAATTTTGACTTAATGGAGTCATTAGTAATTTTGTTAATTAAATCAGGGGGTAAACTACAGTATGAGAAAGTGGGGTAAAACCAAGATGCTGAGGGGAATATTAAATAAAAAATATATTTCAAACATTATAAAATAAATTTATTACACTTTGTTTACTTTATTTTATTAATTAGCACTATATTATTACCACGCAATGAGGCAATTATCAGAATACCTATAAAGTACTAATCTACATCCACACAAATACTATGGGATAATTTGACCCACTAATACCAACATAGCTGAAGCGATAATTCCACATTTATCCACTCTGGTCATCAAGTGAACTCAAATGAAAAAACCAATCCCAAAAACACAATACTTCTATCAACAAAAATTGTTACGTGAATCGAAATAATCAAAACGAGCAACAGTCTGAAACGAATCCCGGTAAATCCCGCTCCGGGATACTGCAATATAACTCATAATACTAAAATGGGAAACAAAAATTGAACGATGAGAATCGCACTAAAACATTTATATCCAACGCCCTTCAATATTTCCCGGGATTGCAGTAGGATTGTGCAGTCTTGGATGCTTTGACTTCCCTATTCATCTCAAAAGAAAAATATTTCGCATTTTATTGTAGTTTTAGTTAAATGTTACTAGCATTTGAAGTTAAAATATGGCTGATGTTAGTCGAAAGCGTATATTGTCACTTAAGAAAATGCATGAGAAATGTAAATGTCTTATAGCTTCACCGCATTTATTTTTATTCTTTACTTACAAAATATGTATTCAAAGTGTGATCTTTTACAATGTAGGTAACAAGAGTATGTAGTAACTTTTATTTAACTATGATTTTTTTATAAAAAAAATAATTTAAAATATATATAGTGACATTTTATTTGACCCTTCGTAGATTTACCATCGAACTTAAACAAGATGAAATTCGACAATGACTAAAACATCATATCATCATCATAGGTATATATCATTTCCATAATTTTATAGTTTTCTATTAGCGATATTGAGCGTAGAAAGTCGATTCACTTGTTCTAAACAATGACATACATATATAACATACATATATCGATAATTATAAAATTAGAAATGAGTGATATAGAAACAAAATATAGACACGCAGCCAAAGCCGCTAAAAGTAGATAGTTGAATAATAAGTGCCCTCAACCCAATTAATATAGTATATTAAAGACAAATCTTTGATAACAGAAAATGGATGTCGTTATTCATTTAATTACCACTATAAGATACTACCATTAATTATTCATTACTATGAATAAAACACGCCGACTTTGACGATGATTGAGTCGAATAATAACGAATCTACTAATATTATTACAGTTAATTTATAATTCTTATCAGTGTTTAGTATATGGTCACAGTATAAAAATTAACAGATTTTAACAAAAATCCTCCTAAATCCCAATAAAAAAGAGTAGTTAAAAATATTTTTTTATGGCGAATCGTTTTTAAAACTGTTGTTTAAAGAGGGTGCAATAAAAATATTTTTATTTTTATATGAAAATAAAATTTTTTAGAAACATTATTTTTTCTTGTTACAGATGTTGTTATGATGTAAATAGTATATTCCCAAAATGTTTTCAGTAAATTAAAAATAACCCTGTATAATATCATGTAGAAGTTAGTAGACTGTGGTGTAATAATATTTTATCGTCGCCAAGAGATCTTACGCACCTACGCATTGTATTAGATTAGTTTAAAATATCTAATGGAGTGAGTAATTGAAACAAGTCAATTAAGAAATTTATGATTGTTAATTACAGTAAATAAATTTATGTATGTTATGGCGCAGTCATGTCGGGAAACAGCGTTGGTAATAATAATAATAATAATTTTATTGAAATACTTTTACAAAGTTATGTATTATTTACAAAATAAATGACCAAGGACACAATACAATTTGGAACCTACCTGAACTAGTTTAACAACCTGTGTTTCAGGTAGATTCGGAGTTCGATTTTAAGCACATTTTTAACTTTAGTTACTTTTCAGTTCTTTATGTAATAGCCTCTAAAAACAAAAACCAATCTATCCCACGGGAACCGTACATTTTTCCAGAGTAAAAAGTAGCCTATGTGTTATTCTGATGTATGAGCTATATTATTGTAAAGTTTCATTAAAATCCATTCCGTAATTTTTGCGTGAAAGAGAAAACAAACATCCTTACATATCCAGATATCCATACATCCTCACAAACTTTCGCATTTATAATATTAGTAGGATGTAATTCTACCTATATAATTTCGATTTGCTTAGTTTCGTTTTTATTTTATTTTTTTTTATTTATAAACCTTACTAGCTAATTTTCCTCACTTTACCAAAAAAAATCCTATGTGTTAATCAGGTCAGTCTGTGTACTAAATTGTATATGGAGGTGGGCGTTGATATCTGCAACTTAGTTCATACTTTTACAATATCGTCGTAACCATTGTTTTGCTGTATACATATAAGATCTATCTATTAATAAATAAATATCGCTTCTTTTTTTTCAAATCTGTTCAGCCGTTTTAGCGTGATAGAATAACAAACATACTCACACGTACAAACTTTTACATTTATAATAGTAGCCCAATGAAGATGAATCTAATGCTGCTTTTAAATCCATACTTCCATACTATAATATTATAAATGTGAAAGTGTGTTTGTTTGTTTTTCTTTCTTTTACGTCGAAATGGAGTGACGGATTGAGGTGATTGAAAAGTGTGGAGATAGTTAGTGGGCTGGAGAGTGACATAGGCTACTTCTTACCGCGAGAGATAAACTCATTCCCAAGGGAAAACACGTTATATTACAACCCAAAAATTTATGATCAAAATTACTTGAAATTTGGTATTAATGCTCTTTAATACAATTAAATAAACTTGCATTTTTCGAAATTCATCCGATAAAGGGGGTAAAATAGGATATGAAAGTTTGTATGAAACCTAC